CATACCGGTCCATACCGGTCCATACCGGTCCATACCGGTCCATACCGGTCCATACCGGTCCATACCGGTCCATACCGGTCCATACCGGTCCATACCGGTCCATACCGGTCCATACCGGTCCATACCGGTCCATACCGGTCCATACCGGTCCATACCGGTCCATACCGGTCCATACCGGTCCATACCGGTCCATACCGGTCCATACCGGTCCATACCGGTCCATACCGGTCCATACCGGTCCATACCGGTCCATACCGGTCCATACCGGTCCATACCGGTCCATACCGGTCCATACCGGTCCATACCGGTCCATACCGGTCCATACCGGTCCATACCGGTCCATACCGGTCCATACCGGTCCATACCGGTCCATACCGGTCCATACCGGTCCATACCGGTCCATACCGGTCCATACCGGTCCATACCGGTCCATACCGGTCCATACCGGTCCATACCGGTCCATACCGGTCCATACCGGTCCATACCGGTCCATACCGGTCCATACCGGTCCATACCGGTCCATACCGGTCCATACCGGTCCATACCGGTCCATACCGGTCCATACCGGTCCATACCGGTCCATACCGGTCCATACCGGTCCATACCGGTCCATACCGGTCCATACCGGTCCATACCGGTCCATACCGGTCCATACCGGTCCATACCGGTCCATACCGGTCCATACCGGTCCATACCGGTCCATACCGGTCCATACCGGTCCATACCGGTCCATACCGGTCCATACCGGTCCATACCGGTCCATACCGGTCCATACCGGTCCATACCGGTCCATACCGGTCCATACCGGTCCATACCGGTCCATACCGGTCCATACCGGTCCATACCGGTCCATACCGGTCCATACCGGTCCATACCGGTCCATACCGGTCCATACCGGTCCATACCGGTCCATACCGGTCCATACCGGTCCATACCGGTCCATACCGGTCCATACCGGTCCATACCGGTCCATACCGGTCCATACCGGTCCATACCGGTCCATACCGGTCCATACCGGTCCATACCGGTCCATACCGGTCCATACCGGTCCATACCGGTCCATACCGGTCCATACCGGTCCATACCGGTCCATACCGGTCCATACCGGTCCATACCGGTCCATACCGGTCCATACCGGTCCATACCGGTCCATACCGGTCCATACCGGTCCATACCGGTCCATACCGGTCCATACCGGTCCATACCGGTCCATACCGGTCCATACCGGTCCATACCGGTCCATACCGGTCCATACCGGTCCATACCGGTCCATACCGGTCCATACCGGTCCATACCGGTCCATACCGGTCCATACCGGTCCATACCGGTCCATACCGGTCCATACCGGTCCATACCGGTCCATACCGGTCCATACCGGTCCATACCGGTCCATACCGGTCCATACCGGTCCATACCGGTCCATACCGGTCCATACCGGTCCATACTGGTCCATACTGGTTTATACTGGTTTATACTGGTCCGTGCTGGGATCTCACTGCTCTCTCTCCCCTCTCTCCCCTCCCCAGCCCCGCCCCCTCTCTGCGATTGGCCCTGGCCGGTGCCTGGTGGGCGCTCAGGGGGCGTGGCCTGTCGGAGCGCGGCCGCGGTGGGCGTGGCCTGGATGGGCGTGGCTGGGGGCGGCTCCTGGCGCTGCTGGAGGCCGTGGGGGGCGGGGCCCCGGGGCTGCTGCGGCCCCAGCACCGGGCGGGGCTCAGCCTGGGGCTGAAGGCGCAGGTAGGCCACGCCCACACGTTACAAGCCACGCCCACAACTCGCAGACCACGCCCACTCCGTGCCTGGCCACGCCCACTCAATTTAAACCACGCCCAGTGTGGTCATTAATGTTTAGGCCACGCCCACCCATCTAAACCGCCCCCATTGGGGGCTTTGATGGATTTTAGCCACGCCCATTTTGCCATAGACCACGCCCAGCCGCTTACAGGCCACACCCACCCCTAAAACCACGCCCACAGCATATTAATGTGCTTAGCCCCGCCCACTCCTATAAAACACACCCACCACACTTTTTGGTATCTAGGCCACGCCCACTTTGCAATGGACCACGCCCACTCACTCACAGACCACGCCCACTCCCCTAAAGCCCCTCCATTTTGTTCATTAATGTGTTTAGGCCACGCCCATCCCTCTAAACCACGCCCATTGAGGTTATTAGGGCTTTCAGGCCACGCCCACTTTAAACAAAACATGCCCCTCAGCCCCAGGCCACGCCCACCCTTTAAACCCCACCTCATGTCCTTTTATGGGCATGGATCCCTCCAGGCCCCGCCCACTGCTTTAAACCCCACCCCATGTCCTTTTATGGAGCCCTCCAGGCCACGCCCACCCCATTAAACCCCACCCCATGTCCTTTTATGGGCATGGAGCCCTCCAGGCCACGCCCACCCCATTAATCCCCACCCTCATGTCCTTTTATGGACGTTTGATCCCAGTCCCTCCCAGTTTGATCCCAGTTTGATCCCAGTCCCCCCCAGTTTGATCCCAGTCCCTCCCAGTGCCCCCCCATCCCCCCCAGTCCCTCCCAGTACAAACCAGTATCCCCAGGAGTACGGGCCCCGTTTCCGCCGCTCCCTCGGGAATCTTTTCCTGGAGTTTTTGTCCCGCCTGGAGAGCGCCCTGCCCCCCCCCGACCTGCCCCAGGTGAGTCTGGGGGCGGGGCTTGCGCGGGGCCACGCCCCCTCGCTGATAAACCACGCTCCCGTTGCCGTGTGGCCACGCCCCTTTTGCCTTATATGGGAAATGTGGCGGGAAATGGCCTGGAATGAATGGAAATGAAGAAAAATTAATGAAAATCAAGCAAAATTAGCAAAAATTAATGAAAATTAGTTAAAATTAAGAAAGAGAAGATAAAATCTGCAGAAATGGCAGAAAATGAAGAAAAATTCACCCAAAATTCACAAAAATTCACCCAAAATTTGCCATAAATTCATCCAAAATTCGCCATAAATTCACCCAAAATTCGCCGTAAATTGAGGTGAAATTAACAAAAAAATACGTTAAATTTGCCCTAAAATTAATTAGTCTAAAAAATTTATCCAAAATTTACAAGGATCAGACAAAATCAGGAGGAATGGCACAAAATTCGCCCAAAATTAACAAAAATTGACCAAAATTAACAAAAATTGACCAAAATTCACAAAAATTCGCCTAAAATTAACAAAAGTTTGCCCTAAATTGAGGTGAAATTAACAAAAATTACATAAAATTTGCACCAAAATTAATTAAAGTCGTACAAAATTTATCCAAAATTAACAAAGATCAGGCAAAATTGACAGAAATGGCAGAAAATTTACCCAAAATTAAGGAAAATTCACCAAAAATTAAGAAAAAATCACAGAAAATTCACCATGAATTGAGATTAAATTAATAAAAATTACATAAAATTTGCCCTAAAATTAATTAAAGTAGTCCAAAATTTATCCAAAATTGACAAAAAGGCAGAAAACTCTCCCAAAATTAACAAAGATCAGCCAAAATTAACAGAAATGAGAGGAAATTCAGCCAAAAATAGCAAAAATTCACCCCAAAATTAATTAAAATAATTCACAATTAACCCCCAAATTAATGAAAATCCCCCCAAATTCACCCAAAATTGACCCCAAACCTCTCAAAAGCCTCAAAATCTCCCCAAAATTCACCCCAAAATGGACCCAAATCTGTCAATAAACCCCGCCCCTTTTTGCTTAAGCCCCGCCTCTTTTCCCTTATATGGCACAGCTGGAGCAGCTCTGTCGAAGCCACGCCCCTCCGGGCTCCAAGCCACGCCCCCTCCCGATCCTCCAGCGTTATTTTGCCGAGGTTCGCCCCACCCACACAGGTAGGCGGGGCTTAAACGGGGGGGGATGATTCGTATGCAAATTAGGTGTCTCATTTGCCTTAAACCCCGCCCACAGCTCCAGCGCCACGCCCACTTCCGGCTGAGAAATCCCCACCCACGTGAGTAGACACGCCCACCACCCCTACCTCCTAATTAGTTGTTAATTAAGCGGCTAATTAACGTTTATAATGTCATTAATTCAGGCCAAAGGCCCGCCCCCGCCGCCGCAGGCTCCGCCCCCTCCGCTTCTCCCCCTACAGTGAGTGGGATAAACCATTCTGATGTGCGGGGGAGGCTGGAGCAGCCAGTGAGGTTTTGAGGGGGATTTTACATGCCAATCAAAGCGAGACACGACAGGGAAGGGTTATGACGCCTGGCGTGACGTCATCGAGCGATTAAAAAGCTAAATTTGAGGTCGAAAAAGGCATTTCTGGGGATTCCCCCCCCGCGCGACTCAAAATGGAGCAGCCCGGTAAAGGCGGGCTTTAACCGCCGTTGATTGACAGCGGCTGCAACCAATGAGGCGCCTTCAGAGCCCGGAAGCGCTTTGTGAACTACAATTGCCGCCATTTTTACTGCTGGCAAGAGGCGGGCGCAGCGCGCTTATTGGCGGAGAGACCGGAAGCGCTTCCGCCGCCATTTTAGGTGTTGGCAGCGCGGGCTCAGCGGGCGGGGCCTCGCTTCCGCTTCCGCTCGGCGGCTCCGAAGGCGCCGCAGCCGCCACGATGCTCATCAAAGTCAAGGTTTTTTTGGGGTGAAAACCGCGGGTTTCGGGCAAATCCCGGCGTTTCCCGCCATCTCCGAGGGGGGAGGGGAGGCGCGGAGGGGATTTGGGGTGAAAATCGCTGATTTTGGGAAGGTTTTGGCGGGCGGGGGGAAACGTGAGGGGAGCGCGCGGTGCATTGTGGGATGATGGCGCCCCCTACAGACGCTGACGGGGAAAGAGATCGAGATCGACATCGAGCCCACGGACAAGGTGAGCTCCCAGTTCGGACCAGTTTAAACCAGTACGGACCAGTTGGGGGTCGGTAAGGAGCGGGTTTGGGGGGGGGATTCGGGGGGGGGGGCTCCCAGTTTGGTACCAGTGAATGGGAGGGGCGTCCCAGTATGGCCCAGTCCCTCCCAGTATCCCTCAGGAACCTCCCAGTTCATCCCAGTCCAACCCAGTTCCTCCCACCGGCACGCCCCTTTAAAACCATAGACGAGTCCTCCAAGCCGGCCAGCTTTCCCTTTAGCCCCGCCCACTTCCGGCGGCGCTCCGCCACGCTTCCTCCTCTCTATGGCCCAAAATGGCGGCGCCCACGATTTTTAACCCTCCGGAGCCTCCAGATGTGCCCGAATGCGCCCAGGTGTGCCCCAGGTGTGCCCAGATGTGCCCCAGGTGTGTTCCAGATGTGCCCAGCCGTGTTTTCCTTCCCGCAGGTGGAGCGGATCAAAGAGCGCGTGGAGGAGAAGGAAGGGATCCCCCCCCAGCAGCAGCGGCTGATCTACAGCGGCAAGCAGATGTAGGCGGGGCTTCGGGGGGCGTGGTCATTGATGGGCGGGGCTTAACAGCAGGGGCGTGGCCTCGGGTTAAAGGGGCGGGGCTTAAGTAGGAAGATTTGGGTTGGAAATGGGAACAGCCGTGTTTTCCTTCCCGCAGGTGGAGCGGATCAAAGAGCGCGTGGAGGAGAAGGAAGGGATCCCCCCCCAGCAGCAGCGGCTGATCTACAGCGGCAAGCAGATGTAGGCGGGGCTTCGGGGGGCGTGGTCATTGATGGGCGGGGCTTAACAGCAGGGGCGTGGCCTCAGGTTAAAGGGGCGGGGCTTAAATGGGGAGGTTTGGGTTGGAAATGGGAAGAATTTGGGTTAAAATGGGGAGAAATTGAGGTAAAATGGCGGCGGAGGCGGGGCTTAAGTGGGCGTGGTCATGCCCGGGGTTTGAGTGTGAAAGGGGCGTGGTCACAGGTTAAGGGGCGGGGCTTAAATGGGAAGATTTGGGTTGGAAAGGGGGAAATTTGGGTTAAAATGGGGAGAAATGGAGGTAAAATGGCGGCGGAGGCGGGGCTTAAGTGGGCGTGGTCAGGGCTGGGTTTGAGGTGTGAAAGGGGCGTGGTCACAGGTTAAGGGGCGGGGCTTAAATGGGAAGATTTGGGTTGGAAAGGGAAATTTGGGTTAAAATGGGGAGAAATTGAGGTGAAATGGCGGCGGAGGCGGGGCTTAAGTGGGCGTGGTCAGGCCCGCGGTTTGAGGTGCGAGAGGGGCGTGGTCACTTGTTAAGGGGGCGGGGCTTAAATGGGGAGATTTGGGTTGGAAAGGGAAATTTGGGTTAAAATGGGGTTTAAATGGTGGCTGGAGGCGGGGCTTAAATGGGCGGGGCTAAAATGGGAGGGGCTTAAAGGAATTTGGGTGAAAAATGGGAAAATTTGGGATTGAATGGGGTGGGGCCTATGTGGGTGTGGCCTCACAGCTGGGTGTGGCTCAGGGGGCGTGGCCACAATGGAGTCACAGTTCGGACAATGAGGTGAGTGTGGCCTAAGTGGGTGTGGCCTCTCTGACTCCTCCCCCAGGAACGATGAGAAGACGGCGGCCGACTACAAAATCCAGGGGGGCTCCGTCCTCCATCTTGTGCTGGCCCTGCGAGGGGGCGTGGCCAGGCTCTGAGGGGGCGTGGCCATGTTCTGGACACTCCCCGATTCCCTTTAAGCCACGCCCACCTTCATTTCCCCTTTTCCCTGAGGTCGTTTCCTGTTCATGGATCCGTTATTATTTAATAAAGGTTCACTGATAACGTCAGCAGCGCATTTGTGATGTCATAGGCATCTCAGTGATGTCATTTCCTGCCTAAAAATTTAGGGTAGGCCCCACTTATAGCCGGCGTTGCCCTTTTAAGACAGCATTGCCCTTTTAAGGGCATTGCCACTTTAAGGGCGCGGTGGACCCCAACAGTGGCATTGCCCTTTTAAGAGCTTTTAAAAAATCCCCAACTTTGCCCCAAAATTTCAATTTTTAACCCTGAAGTGTCGATTTTTAACCCCAAAATCGCCAATTTCCCTCTCAAAAGTAACAAATTCTTCTTTTTAGCCCCCAAATCCTCATTTCCCCCCTCAAAATCTGAGGTTCTCCCGTTTTTTGGGCATGAAATGACCCAAAATCACCGGGTTTGGTCCCAAAATCAACAATATGACTCTAAAACAACCATTCCAGCCCACATTTAATATTTTCAGCCCTAAAACCCCCGGTTTTATCCTCAAAATCTTAATTTTTAACCCCAAATTCTCAATTTTTAATATTTTATTCTCTATTCCTCCTCAAAAAACCAAATTAAGCCCCAAAATGCCCATTTTTCACCACAAACCCACCTTTTTCCCCCTCAAATCATCCCTTTAAACGCCCACACTCCACTTTCTGACTCCAAATTCTTCAATTTTATCCCAAACCGTCCAAATTTTGCCCAAATCCGTCACTTTTAACCCCAAAATCGGCGCTTTTCACCATCGCCCCTTTAAGAGCGGTCCTCACCCGCCATCACCGCTTTAAAACCATAGAGAAGTCCTCCAGAGCGGCTAGTGCGCCCTTTAGTTCCGCCCACTTCCGGCGGCGCTCCGCCCGACATCCCCTTTTCACGCTGCTACAAAATGGCCGCCCCCTCTTTCTCTAAAATGGCGGCGCCCGCATTGGAGCAGATTTTGTCGGAACTCCTGGAGCCCGACAGCGCCGGCATCCGCCAGGTGCCTCAAATTTCCCCAGATTCGGGCAAATTTGGGCGAACTTCTGGGTTTTTGGTGTTTTAGCTGAATTTTTGGGCTTTTTCCCAGGCCACGGAGCGGCTGCGGGAGGCGCTGGAGGAGCCGGAGGGGCCCGAAGGCCTCGCGGAGCTGCTGAGGGGGGCGGCGAGGCCGCAGGTCTGAGGGGGGTTTGGCGGGAATTTTGGGGGTTTTGCCGGGAAATTTTGGGGTTTTGGCGGGGATTCTGAGGGGAAATTTGGGATTTTGGGGGGATTTGGGCGGGATTTTGGCGGGAATTTGGGGGTTTGGGGGAGCCTGAGGGAGTCTGGGGCTGCCGGAGGGGGTTTGGGCGGGAAAATTTGGCGGGAAAATTTGGGGGTGATTTGAGGACTTTGGGAAAAATTTTGGGAATTTGGGGGAATTTTAGGGATTTTTAAAAATTTTTTGGGGGATTTGGGGGTGATTTTTGGATTTTGGCGGGAATTTGGGGGATTTTGGGGAGAAATTATTGGGATTTAAGGGAAATTTTGGGAGGAATTTGGTGATTTTGGGGAGATTTTGGGGAATTTTGGAGGATTTGGGGTGGGTTTGGGAAAATTTGGGAAAATTTGGGGGGAATTTTGGGAGTTTGAGCCAGAAATTTGGGGATTTCTGTGGGATTTTGGCAGGAATTTGGGGAATTTTGGCAGGAATTTGGGGCCAATTTGGGGGTTCTGAGTGGATTTGTGAAGATTTTGGGGAGAATTTTGGGAATTTTTTGGATTTTGGGGGAAATTTGAGGATTTTTTTTGCAAATATTGGGATTTTTGCAGGAATTTTGGGGCAAATTTGGGGATATGGGCGGGAATTTGGGGAATTTTTGGACATTTTGGGGCAAATTTTGGGATTTGGGGGAGAATTTGGGTTGATTTTGGGAGGAAATTTGGGGGAATTTTTGGATTTTGAGGGGAAATTTGGGGAGCTTTGAGGGGATTTGGGAATATTTTGGTAGAAATTTTTGGGATTTTGCTGGAAATTTCGGGAATTTTGTGGAGAATTTAGGGAAGTTTGGTAGATTTGGTGGAATTTTGGGGGGAATTTTGGGGGATCCTGAGAGGATGTGGGGGAGAATTTTGGGGGAAATTTGGGGAATTTTTGGCATGTTGGGGAAGAGTTGGGAGAAATTTTGGGGATCTTGAGGGGAAATTTGGAATTTTGGGGAATTTTGGGGCAAATTTTGGGATTTTTGTGGGAATTTGGGAGAATTTTGGGGGATCCTGGGAGAATTTTTGGATTTTGGGGGGAATTTTGGGTAAATTTGGAGGGATTTTGGGGTGGATTTTGAGGTGAATTTTGGGGGATTTGGGGTGAATTTGGGGGATTATGGGGTGAATTTGTGAATTTTGGGGATCCCGGGCGGATTTGGGCTGAATTTGGGGGTTTGGGGCTGAATTTTGGGATGAATTTGGGCGATTTTGGGGCTCCCAGATCCGACACTTGGCCGCCGTTCTGCTCCGGAGGCGCCTCCGGAAGCTCCCTCAGGAATTGATTGACAGGTGGGCGGGGCCTGAGCCCCATTGGGAGCAATGGGAGGGGGCGTGGCTTAGGGCCCATTGCAGGGAGGGGGCGTGGCTTAGGGTCCATTGCAGGGAGGGGGCGTGGCTTATGTTCTATTAGAGTCAATGGGAGGGGGCGTGGCTTAGGGTCTATTAGAGTCAATGGGAGGGGCGTGGCTTAAGTTCCATTGGAGTCAATAGGAGGGGCGTGGCTTAGGTTCTATTACAGTCAATGGGAGGGGGCGTGGCTTAGGTTCCATTGGAGTCAATGGGGGCGTGGCTTAGATTCCATTGCAGTCAATGAGAGGGGTGTGGCTCCAAATAAGGGGGCGTGGCCAGTGTCCAATAGGACTCTATATGTTCCATTGGAGTCAATGGGGGGCGTGGCTTAGGTTCCATTGGAGTCAATGGGAGGGGTGTGGCTCCAAAAAAGGGGCGTGGCCAGTCTCCAATAGGACTCCACGAGGAGGCGTGGCTTCAGAAAAGGGGGCGTGGCTTGGCCTCCAGAGTACAGTGGAAGAGGTGGGGCTTAATTAATTGGGTTAATTAGAGAGGGTGTGGGGTGATTCAAACAAAGGGGCGTGGCTTAAATTGCCTTAATTAGGGAGTGGGAGGAGTTTATTAATGAGGGGGAGGGGCTTAAATGAAGTAGAGCACGTGGTGGGTGTGGCCTGCCCATAAATGGAGTTTTAAAGGTGCAACATGACCATATATGGTAAAAAGGGGCGTGGTTAACTCTGGCTCCGCCCCTTCCAGGCTCCCCCATGTCGTGGCCGAGGCCTTGGAGCGGGAGACGGAGTGAGTGGAAAATTCCCCAAAAAAATCCCCAAAATCTCCCAAAATTTTGGGAATTCTGGGGAGAAACGGGGAGGGGGGAGGGGCTGGGGGGAAAATTTGGGATTTGGGGGAAAAAATTGAGAATTTTGGACGGGAAAAAACGGGAATTTTGGGGGGAAAAAAGGGAATTTTGGTGAAAAAAAATGGGATTTTTTTTGCTAAAAATTGGGATTTTTTAAGCAAAAATTGGGAATTTCGTCCCAAAATTTGGGAATTTTTGGGTTTTTTGGGGGATTTTGGGGTTTTTTCCCCCAGTTCTTGCAGCAGAGGAGCCCTGGCCCAGCTCGGGGCGCGGCTGCTGCTCCTGGGGGGCCCCAAATTTTGGGAACCGTTGGAAAAATGGATCCAGGAGGCGGCGAGGGACCCCCAGAAAATGGAGGTGAGGAGCCCAAAATTCTGAGGTTTTAGGAAATGTTTTAAAAATTTTAAAAGCCTGGAAGAATTTGGAAAAAATTAAAAAAAAAAATTGTGAAATTTCCAAAAAAATTCCCCAAAAAAATCGTTCAAAAAGCTTTAAAATCCTAAAAAAAATTCCCCAGAAATAAATAATAAATAGTAAAAATATCCCCAAAAATTTCTTTAAAAATCCCAAAAAATTCCTCAAAATTTTTGTAAAAATTTCTCCCAAAAAAAATCTTAAAAATTCTCCAAAAAGTCCCAAAAAAACCCTCTAAAAATCCCTAAAAAATCCTTAAAAAATCCTAAAAAACTCTCCAAAAATCTAAAAAAAAATACTAAAAAAATCTTTAAAATTTCAAAAAAAGTTCTCAAAAAATTGTAAAAAAAATCCTAAAAATTTTCCCAAAATAATCCTGAAAAATTCTCAAAAAAAAATCCTCAAAAATTCCTCAAAAATTCCTCAAAAATGCGCAGAAAAAATCCTGAATAAAAAAAAAATACTCAAAAAAATTCCTAAAAAATTCTCAAAAAAAAATCCTCAAAAATTCCTCAAAAATGCGCAGAAAAAATCCTGAATAAAAAAAAATCCTCAAAAAAATTCCTAAAAAATTCTCAAAAAAAAATCCTCAAAAAAATTCCTAAAAAATTCTCAAAAAAATCCCAATAAATTCCCAAAACCCCCTCAAAAAATTCCCTAAAAATCCCCCAAAAATCCCTTCAAAATTACCCAAATAATCGCAAAAAACTCCGCAAAATTCCTCAAAAAATCCTAAAAATAGCTGAAAAGATCCGCCAAAAATCCTAAAAAATGCCCCAAAATATCCCCAAAAATTCCTCAAAAATTCTGTAAAAAATCCTGAAAAAATCCTAAACTTTAAAATACCCAAAAAATTGTCAAAAAATCTTTTAAATTCCTCAAAAATCACCAAAAAATTCTAAAAAAATTCTGAAAAAATCCTCAAGAAATTCTAAAAAAATCCTAAAAAAATCTTTTAAAAATCCTAAAAAAATCGTCAAAAAATCCTCAAAAAATTCTCAAAAAATTCTAAAAAAATCCTAAAAAATCCTAAAAAAATCTAAAGAAATTTCTAAAAGAATCGTAAAAGATTCTTTAAAAAATCTTTAAAAAATCCTAAAAAAATCCTCAAAAAATTCTTAAAAAACCCTTAAAAAATCCTACAAAAATCCTCAAAAATTCCTCAAAAAATCCTCAAAAAATCCTCAAAAAATCCTTAAAAAGTCCTAAAAAAACCCCCTAAAAATCCTTTAAAAATCCCAAAAAAATCCTTTAAAAATCCTAAAAAATCCTAAAAAAACCCTAAAAAAATTCTAAAAAAAGTCTTTAAAAAATAAAAAAAAATCCTAAAAAAAAATCCCTAAAAAAACCCTAAAAAAATTCTAAAAAAAGTCTTTAAAAAATAAAAAAAAATCCTAAAAAAAATCCTTAAAAAATCCTAAAAAAATTCTAAAAAAAGTCTTTAAAAAATAAAAAAAATCCTAAAAAAAATCCTAAAAAAAATCTTTAAAAAATCCTAAATACATTCTAAAAATTCCTTAAAAATCCTTAAAATATCCTAAAAAATCCTAAAAAAATGCTTAAAAAATCCTAAAAAAATGCTTAAAAAATCCTGAAAAAAACCCAAAAAATTCTGAAAAATTTTCCAAAAAAACCCAAAAAAATCTCCACCAAATCATCAAAAA